CAGTGAGAGTATCTTAAAACAGTGAGAGTATCTTAAAACAGTGAGAGTATCTTAAAACAGTGAGAGTATCTTAAAAACAAACAAACAAACAAAACAAGTGACCCACACCAACAGACCTTTCCCTATGGGCTTTCTCGGAGCCTTCATTTTTGTCATTAAATAACATCTTTGCTTCTCCAGGAGAGAATTGAGTGTAGAAGGCCCTGTGATAGTTAGTTTCTGTCACCTGAACACAACCTAGGCTTACGTGGGCAAAGGGCATCTCAGTTGAGGAATTGCCTCCAACAGAGTGGTTTGTGGACATGTCTGTGGAGCATATTAATGAATGTGGGAGGTCCCAGCCCACTGTGGGTGACTCCACCCCTAGGCAGATGATGTAGAAGGTCCCAGGCTACTGCGGGTGGTGCCATCCCTAGGCAGGTAGTGTAGGAGGCCCAGCCCACTATGGGTGGTGCCACCCCTAGGCAGGTGATCTAGGAGGTCCCAGCCCACTGTGGTAATGCTATCCCTAGGCAGGTGGTGTAGTACAACCCAGCCCACTGCAGGTGGTGCCATCCCTAGGCAGGTGGGTCTGTGCTGTACAAGAAAAGTAGCTGAACGAGCCTTGTGGGAGGCAAGCTAGTAAGCAGTAGCCTCCGTGGTCTCCGCTTCTGTCTCCGCCTTCAGGTTCCTGCCTTGGTTTCCTTGGATAATGAACTGTAAAGTGTAAAACGAAATAAACCCTTTCCTCTGCAAGTTTCTTCTGGTCACTGTTTTATCTCAGAAACAGAGAAGCAAACTAGAATAGTCTCTCCTTCCACCCCAATCCCTTAGAACTTGTCCGAGCCCCAGTTTGTCTTTCTTGCTGGCTGTGGCCCAGATGGAGTGAGTGGGTGTATATATGTAGGCACCTAGAAAGTCAGATTCAATGGGTACCTCCTCCAAGGTGGGTCAGCCTGGGCAAAGCCGATGGCTGCGACAATATGCTAAGAGTGGGTTGGTAGATGGGTATGGGGATATGTGGCTATGATTCCAGCACATGGGAAGTGAGGCGGGGGGTGGGGGGAATCAGGAGTTGAAGGCCAGCTTTGGCGACTTAGAGAATTTGAGGCCAACATGCGCTACATGAATCCCTGTCTTAAAAAAAAAAAGAGTTTGACAGACTCGGAAGAGTTCTAGGTGCTAGACCCCAGTCATTTTCCCTCCCAGATCCCGTCCCAATGCAGCATCTGAGCCCCTTGGTGTCCTGGTTGTTGGGGAACTGGTGGCCTGTACAGAGCACATACTAATCAGAGGTTGTAGATTATGGCAGGGGCCGTGGCTCGAGGCTGGGTTCTCTTCACCGCTTCAGGCAGGCAGCCCAGGCTGCACTGCCCAGGGGTCCCTTTGCTTAGATGGGGCAGCACTGTGAGGACCTGCATCTCTGCTGGGGGCAGAGGGTGGCAGGAGGAACTTCAGGGGAAAGAGAGTGAAGATGTTGCGTCTCCTTGCAGCATCCCTGGGGCTCCCAGGAACCCCAGAGCACTAGGAAGGACATTGAAGAATGGACACGTTAGCAGGTAGTGAGTGTGTACATGGGGGCAGGGGCAATGGTCAGTCTTCACTGTCAACTTGACTGGATTTGGAATCACCTAAGAGATATACCCCTGGGTGTATCTAGAAGTTTCCAGGAAGGTTTAACCAATGAGAAAAGCCCTACCGAGGTGGTCTGGATGAGAATGATGCCCTGCCCCCCCATAGGCACATATGAATGTTTGTCTCTCCCCCATCAACTGTAGTTGGTAAAACTGGGAAGGACTAGGAGGCGTGGCCTTTTTGGAGGAGGTGTGGCCTTTTGGAGGAAGTGTGTCATTGGGAGTGGACTTTGAGGTTTCAAGAGTCCATACCATTCCTAAATAGGCCTCTTGCTCTATCTGCCTGATGCTTGTGAGAAAAGATAGAAGCTTTGAGCTACTGCTCCAGCACCATGCCTGCCTGTCCTCTACCATGCTCCTCACTACCATGGTCATGGGCTGTAACCCTCTGGAACTCTGAGCCGCCAAATTAAACGTACTTATTTATTTTGTTTTACATGCAATTAGTGTTTTCCTGCATGGATGTTTATGTGAGGGTGCTGGACCCACTGGAACTGGAGTTACAGGCAGTTGTGAGCTGCCGTGTGGGTGCTGGGAATCGAACCCAAGTCCTCTGGAAGAGCAGCCAGTGCTCTTAATCCACTGACCTATCTCTCCAGTCCTAAATGCTTTCTTCTATAAGTTGCCTTGATTGTGTGGTTTTGTCCTGGCGCTAGAAAAATAACTAGACAGCCACCCACCCTGAATGTGGGCAGCCCTCTATCCTGGGTTGAATGAAGTGAAGATGTAAAAAGTGAAGGAGGCACTGGGCATGCGTCACTTTCTGCCTCCTGACTGTGGATGCCATGTGACCAACTGCCTCGCACTATCGTCCTCCATTATGGACCGCATCCCCACAAACTGTGAGCCACTGGAATAACCCCCTCCTTTCCTAGGCTGCTTTGGCTCGGGATTCTGTTATAGCAACTAGAGGGAAGTAGTAAGGGACATGAGGCAAATGGGCTGTGCTCCTGCTGGGTCCCCTCCCCTCACTGGCTTCAGAAGCAGTGAGAGCTGCCCTTCAGCCCTGCCACACTTGCAAGTTGCTCTTGGAATGCATAAACTTCAATCTGACCGGGCTACCTTGCATTGAGGAGAAAGTGGTTAGTGAGAGTGGACATCGAAGGGAAGGTGTCCAAAGGCAGGCTGGGTGTGGTTTTTCCAGGTGGCTACATTTCAGTGGCAGGGGACTGGCCTGGCCTGTCTGGTCAGTGTCAGGAAAAAGGACTGGTGAGACAAGCTGTGGAATGCCACAGTGTCTCTCATGGCACAATAAACAGCCCTACTTCTACCCATCATCCCCGTCTGCCTTTGTGGCTAGCACAGCCACCAGAGCTGTCTCTGTGTCTTCCTTGCTTGACTGCCTGTCACTTCACCCAGCCCAGTGTAGCTTTGACTGAGGTCATGAGAGACCAACCTGACGCAATTGTCTTGTTGTGGTTTCTGGTTTCATGAGTCAGGATATCACTATGTTACCCTGGCTGGCCTTGAACTCACTTTGTAGACTAGGCTGGCTTGAGACTTGCAAAGGAGCCTCTTGATCGGCCTCAAGTGCGAGGACTGAAGGCGTGCGCCACCTCACCTGGCATAGCTGCTTTTCAAAAGAAGAGCTTAGAGCGCTAGATAGATGGCTCAGTGGTGAGGAGCACACAAGGAGCACACAACCGTCAGTGACCAGGTGACCAGGATTGGGGATCCCCCGGAACTGGAGTTACAGGTGATTGTGAGCCACCGTGCGGGTGCTGAGAACCGAACACAACTCCTCTGGAAAAGCAGCAAGTACTCTCCACCGCTAAGCCATCTCTCCAGCCCCAAAATAAATGCATTTAAAAAATAAAAATAAAAATGTGGGGTGGGCACTGGTGGTGCAATACCTTTAATCCTAGCGCTTAAGAGGCAGAGGCAAGTGATCTCTGTGAGTTCAAGGCCAGCCTCGTCTACAAAGGGAATTCCAAGACAGTCAAGGATATACAAAGCAACCTCTTCTACAAAATAAAAAAGTGAAGTAGAATTTTTAAAAATTATATTTATGAGTATGTTTGTCCTATGCCAGCCTGGACTACATAGTAAGACACTACCTCAGGAAACGGTTTTGAAAAGGAAA